CTCACAAAAGCAGCAGTCAAGATTTCAAACAATGTATTTCATTAGGCAAATCTGCTGCACAAGACCTTTTTAAAGGGTTGAAGTGCAAAGATTTCAGCTTGCAGACTAAGGTATGCTTGACACAATCCATGGCATTTTCAACAACCTCATATGCATGCGAAAGTTGGATAGTGAATAAGGAAGATAATAGAAGAATTGATGCATTTGGCGTTGGAGGAGAGTATTGAAAGTACCATGGGCTTCCTAAAAAACCAACAGATCTGTGTTGAAAGAAGTGCATTTAGAGTGCTCTTTGGAGGCCAGGGTAGCCAAAGTTTGTCTCTCATACTTTGGACATATTGTCAGGAGGGACCAGTCACTGGAGAGGGATATCATGTTTGGTAAGGTGGAAGGTCAGAGAAAAAGAGGAAGATCCCCACTGAGATAGATTGGCAAAGGGACAGCATCAATGGGCTCAAGCATGGCAACAGTGTTTTGTTCTGTTGTGCATAGGGTCGCTATGAGTCGATACCTACTGGATGGCACCTAACAACAACAACAACGTACATAGACTACAAGGCAGTCATTAGAACAGAATAAGAGAATACTGAGTGTTTTAAATTCAATAATTGTGTGTGCCTGGGTTATATTCTTTCATCATACTTATTCAATTTGTGTGCTGAACAAATAATCAGATAAACTGGATTACTTGAAGGAGAACGAGCCATCATGACTGGAGAAATACTCATTAGCAACATGCAATATGCATATGACATAACCTTGCCTTCTGAAAGCAAAGAGGGCTTGAAATACTCACTGTTACAGGGCAAAGACGATAGCCTTTAGTATAGATTTCACCTCAATGTAAAGAAAACAAAAATTCTCACAACTGGACCAATAAATAATATCATGATAACTTGAGAAAATATTGAAGTTGTAGAAGATTACATTTTGCTTAGATCTGCAGTCAATGCTTATGGAGGCAACAGCAAAGAAATCAAACAGCATATTTTATGAATCAAATCTGCTGCAAACGACTTCTTTAAAGTATTAATGAGCAAACATGGCATTTTGGGGACTAGGGTGCATCTGACCCAAGCCATGATATTTTCAGTCACCTCAGATGCATGTGGAAGTTGGACAAATGAATAAGAAAGATCATTGAAGAATCAATTCATGTGAATTATGGTGTTGGAGAAGAGTATGGAAAGTACCTTGAACTGCCAGAAGAACAAAGAAGTCTGCATTGGAAGAAGTATAGCCAGATGCTCCTTGAAAACATGGATGGTAAGACATGTTGTCAGGAAGGACCAATCCCCAGAGAAGGACATTATATTTAGTAAAAAAGAGGAGGAGCCCCAAGAAGATGCACTGATACAATGGCAGAAACAATGTTCTCAAACATAACAATTGTGAAAATGGCACAGGACTGGGCAGTGTACCGTAGCTATGAGTCAGGAGCCATTCAATGCCACCTAACAACAACATAGCCCTTCAGAATGCCTTTTGTTCCTCAAACCAGAAAAACATTTA